CAAGAAAAAGTCAGGTCACGGAAACTGCACAAAAATAAAGATGAATTAATATTTGATATAGCCCACAATTAAATCTTCTTATGTATCTGTAGTATGCAAGAACATCTTCCTTCACCACCCTCCTTTAAGGCTAAACCAATATGATTCTCAGATTTCTTTGTGTGAACCATTTCAGGAGTGCCAAAAATTTATTTTCTGCTTGAAAGTTTTTTTTAGCGTTTTTTGTTTTTTTTTTGGTAAAAAGAAGAGGGGGGGGCTTTCCATTCATTTATACTGCTTTCAATTGCTCTCATTCTCAACTGCATTCACTTGCCTCATGTCATGTAACCATATATGATTGACTACCTCCTATTATGACATCATCTCATTTATTATATGATCTGTCATTGGCTGGGATGATCTATGTGGCTAATTCAGGAAAGAGAAAGAAACAGCAGTTAGGGGGAAAGATGATGAATCTTTGCTGTAGCCAGAAAGAAAATACTGCATGGAAGTCGCTACTGCTGATCAAAAAGTAAAAATAGTATTTGGTGCAGCACTCTTATTTTTAGGTTTCACAGACCCAACTTTTCACTCTTCCCGATCCTTGCAAAATAGATCTTTGCAGAATGGAGAGCATTCTCTACTGGGCAGGGTGCAAACTACTTAACATGCATATACTAGTACTTAAACTGCTTTCGTTTCATTTTATTTCAGTAAGCCTAAGTGGGCATAAGTGGTGGTATGGTACAGAGAATACTTTATGTCCCATAGTGAAGAATCAGATGCTTCTGCAGCCTTAGTGGTTCCTTGAGGCTTTTGAAAGTGTTCCGATTTGAACAGTATGTTCAATCAAAATAAAACAAGATTGACTTTAACTGTCTCCAGGGAGCTGCCTTCTGAGAATCAGGAAGGTGTGAATTGAATGTCTGCCAACATTGTCTCGTTCACTTTCACCCTATTGCCAAACCTGTGAAGAGGTCAATTTCCCTGGTGTGACTCTGTGCAAAACTGTTTCTCACAGATATGGCCTGTAAGTGAACGGCGTGCTGAGATCCAGGAAGCATAATATTTTACTGTGCACAGGAATGTGTTGAGTCTGTATACAACGCCAAACGATGGCTGTAAGAAATATCACTTGGAATGGCAGAAGCTGTGCTTGGCATGGGTGGGGCTGCCTTCTTGCAGGTTTAGAGCCAGGCAAGGATGAAAAAACAAGGGGGCAAAGTTTAACAGAGGGTGCTTTAAGAGTTCTTTAGAAGCCACATATGCAAATATGCACCAAGAGGAAATACTCAACATATGTAGGAGAGTGAGATCTTCTTGGGAGGAGGTCATGTTTTTTCATGAGCTCTTACAACTATACCCTATAACCTTTTTTAAAATGTGGCTCTTTTGGGGGGGTGTTATTGGGTTATAGTTGTTCTTTTGATTTTTATATATTGTGATCTTTTCTGTGAACAGCCCTGAGACTTCCGGGCAGTATATAAATTCAATAATTAAATAAATAATAATAATAATACAACTTCTTGTAGAGAAACATTAGCATGGGACCATTGTAACATATACTTAGAATGCAGACATGGAATGAGAAATCAATACACTTCATGTTATTACTTTCTTATTATAGGAACTTTCCCCTTTTGAAAAAAAAATGATAATCCCTTTGTTATCTAGTCATTTCAAGACAAGGTCATTTTTCAAAGCCCTGTGAGATTGGGAGGGAAATTATTGCAGAGGTTCTGACAAGCATAAGGAACTAAAATCACCCTAGGGAGCACTGGCAGACACCTTGCAAGGCTCCTTTTGATGCTATAGAGAACAACATTGATGGCTGTAATTATTTATGATGTCATTTAAAATCAACTGAAAAGGTCTGGCTGACTTGAAAGGGTATTTTGAAATGTCTTAATATACGGAGAGCACTCTTCATCATCCAAATGCCTCATCAGATAATCCAAACATTTGGAAGTTGTTCACACAGAGTTATTATGGGAGAGGACACATTGTGGATTAGATAACTATAATTTTTGGATTAGTGGCAGCCATATGGCAACGTGACTGGCGATAAGCCCTGGTCCTGAGCGAACACCAGAGGGTGAGGCAAATCCCTGGGCACCCACTCCTAATAGCTGATCTGCAGGCGGTGAAGTCAGTCTGGATTTTCCTCCGCTCTGATGTTAAAACCCTAGAACCTTCCACTCAGTTACCTATAGGAATGCTGCTCCTGCTTATGCCCGTTGGCCCTTGCCTGGGGTCTTGCAAACCAGGAAGAAATGCTGCTCAGAACTACTACTCTTATTCTGACATGTTCCTCCATCCTTCCATAGGCCACAGAACACCATAAAGGGAACCAATGGCTATAGCTGTAAAGCAAATCAGTACCACAATCTCCTCCTCCTCCCTCCTCCTCTTTCTGCCTTGTGCATCTACTTGCTGGAAGCAATTACACGAACAGACCTGTCAACTGCACCAAACATTACACTGCAGTCTGCTGGCTCATGCTCCCTACCTTGCAATTTCTAATGGTTTCTATCCCAGGCATGAAGCTATCCACAGTGCCATTTAGCAAAAGAAATAATTTCGCAACATGCTTTTCAATGGTTGTGTTGTCTCTTTTCCCCTTCCACTATTTGAAGCAACTGCTGTGCATCTCTCTAACTCACAAGACTAGTTCTCAGAGCTTTTTCTTTAGATCACCACATTAAAGTCAGCCTTTGGAGACTGGGATTGAAATACAGTGGTACCTCGGGTTACATACGCTTCAGGTTACAGACTCCGCTAACCCAGAAATAGTGCTTCAGGTTAAGAACTTTGTTTCAGGATGAGAACAGAAATCTTGTTCCGGCGGCGTGGCGGCAACAGGAGGCCCCATGAGTGAAAGTGGTGCTTCAGGTTAAGAACAGTTTCAGGTTACGAACGGACCTCCGGAATGAATTAAGTACTTAACCCGAGGTACCACTGTATCCCTTGTACTGTATGTGTGCACATGTTTAATATCCTGCAACCTTCATTCAGTCTTGGTTCTCTGTACCATTTGTATATACAGACATTTCTTGTTGCTCAGACGCTACATGGCCATTAAGTCTTGGAGGTCATGGCGGGTCTATTGATCCATGCACTGCTGGCAAATGTTTGCAAGGCTGCTGCATCCTGACTTGAATCTAGTAACCTGAAAGCTGTTTTGAAGATTTCATCATCCAGATTAAGAACAGCTAAAGCATGTCAGCATCCAGACACTGGACACTAGAAATTAGATGCTGACATTCTTGAACTGTTCTAAATATTTGTACGTTAAAATGAAACCACGATGTAGGTGGCCAGGCTTGCTGAACGGCATTTCCCTCGCCTTTGTTAAGAGTCCAGCCTTCCAAACACTGTCATATTTATCACAACGGGCTTGTGCAGGAGCACCATGTGGGCAATTCCACCCTTGATGAAGAAAGTAGAATTACACAATGAATTTTGCAGGTGCCTTTGCAATGTGAATGTGACAAGAAGGGTGAAGCTGGCCTGGTAACTATCTAGCAAGCGATGATTGATCTAGGTTACAGATAATACCAAGTTTGACAGGTATGGCGCTCACCCATTTCGACTTGTTCTGATTGCTTATCTGGACTACTGCCCTAATGAATTAAAATGATGCCACCCAGAATTAAAAGATAATAAGATAGCTGAACGTAATTCTTTTTTCTGGGTTACAACAACAAAACCCCCACCAGTGTGGCATAGTGATAAGAATGTTAGACTAGAACCAGGGAGACCAGGATTCAGCCACATGAAGCTCACTGGGTGACCTTCAACCAGCAATTATCTCTCCATCTGTGTATCCACCATGCATTTAAAAAACATTTAGAGCACATTCCCCTACCCCAAGAATCCTGGGAACTGCAGGTTGATAAGGGTGTGGGTAATTGTAGCTCTGTGAGAGGTAAACTATAAAAGTTTGGTGCATATGCAACCTCAGCCTGTCCTACCTCACAGGGTTGGTGTGGGGATAAAATGGAGCGGGGAGACCTATAGGCATTGCTTTGAGCTCCATGGAGGAAAGAAAGGATAGAAATGTAGCAAAACCAGCAACAACCCATTGAGAGTTCCTTCGCATGCATTTCCCTTAAGTGTTACTTTAAATGACCGCTGGTAAAGGGGAAGTATAGTAGGGCTGTTCGAGATACATATTACTCCCAAGGAGTATAGTTACATAATGGATAACCAGCTGCAGAAACTCCCTGAAAAAGTGATCTCCAAGCAAAACTGTTGAAGAAGCATTCACAGCCATACGTACGTGATTCTCACAGTCTGCCAAGCACCCAAATCCAAACACTTTGTGCCTTCACATAATTGTGAATTCAAACATGGGGGGAGGGGAGGAATCACACAATGAGATTTTCGTGAAAGGCACTTGAGGATAGAAGAACTGGTGCGACAGGCAGGAGGAAGAAGAAACTAGAAACTAGGGCATAGCTGACCTACTTTTTACCCATACTCAGACCCAGTCACACATCTAGTTAAAAGTTCTAGTAACTCGATTCTTAGTCTTATTACAGATATATATTTTTCCTACTCAGGTTGTACTGGCACAGGACAAAGCATTCCTTTGGGTTTTTTTTTAAAAAGGTCAGTGAAAATCAACCCTTTCTCAGTCCTCGACAGGTGTGAAAGTAGTTTGGCTCTGCCAAATGTATAAATCGTCCGTTCCCTGGTTTAATCTTGGATTGGAAATAGAAGTACGGCAATGTCACCTGAAAAGTCTCAGCACAATTTTGAGCTCTGCTGGAGATGGCAATCCCCTAAAAGCCTAGTAGCCGGATTTGTCACATGAAATGGTTCCAGCCGGAATAAGTTTAAACTTAAAAGGGAGTTGCAACATAAATCCAGTTGAGATAGCTGGGTTGTTGGGGAAGAAAGCACCCAACTCTATACACAATCTGAATACATTCGACCCTTTGAAATGAAATGTGGCCTACAAAAGTGTGTCCTGCTTGATAAAGTTAGCGGTAAAATAAATGGACCCTCCTTACCCCTTCCATAGGGATCCTGGGACTGGCAGTCAGCCTGTATTGATTGAGTTGCACAGCTCTTGGCTCTTCCTGGAATCGCCTGATGGAGGCAGGAGAGGAGAGGACCCCAGATCTTTGCAGCGAGCCAAACTTCATCCTGTTGGGTCCAAATCTGATTCCATCCAACAAGCGGATCAAAAGCAGGTTGGCTGGAAGCTCCTCAATGCTGCAGAGGACCAGGGCTCGGCATTCCGGGCACCGAAGCTCCTTGTGTGACTTCAAGATCCTCTGGAGGCAAGGCTTGCAGAAGGTGTGCTGGCAGGGGAGTACTTTGGCCGAGACATCCAGCTTCTCCAGGCACACTGGGCATTCCAGCATGTCAAAGAAGGCCGAATCATCCATACTCTTTCTCCCCCCTTTTCAACGAAGAAATCCAATTTCAAAGCAGAGCCAGAAAACTCCACATGATGTTTGCCGTGACCAAATACGTTGCTCAGGAAGGACGCTTGCAATTGTTAGAACCCGAAAATCGCCATCCTGTAAGGAGAAAACAACAGAGAGGGAGAGACCAATTGCAGCACCTGACTAGTTTGGTATTATGAAATGCATGCCACCTACAAGTCGAAGCAAAGCCTCATGAGCTGATTTGTATGGTGTGTCCCAACCCCCCAAAACAAAGAAAGTTTGGCATTAGTCATTTGTGAATATAAGTACCAGTAAGCAGAATCATATCCATTGGCTGCTGTGTGGCAGGAAGGAGGCAGCTGCATCTCACACACTGGCACAGGTGATTATAAAAATAAAAATTAGAGGACCCCATAAATTCCACTCAAAGTGAGATGTTGACACCAGGGCATCATGTTCCTATTCAGATGTATTGCCGAGGGATCAGCCCATCTTAAAAATGGCATGCAAAGAATAACTGTGGAAGCAGTAAAAATGATCACTCCACAGAAAAGCCAGAAGGTGTTCTGGTAAAACACATGGCTGCCTCCACTCCCCTTTTCTAAACAGGCCAACATTGAACAGGCATCGCTCTGTTGGCCCACCCACAGTGCTTCACACTCTCTCAAAAAGGCATCTCTCTTCATTCTCTAGATTTTCTCATCTGCAAGTCACTTTGACGGCAATCATTACTTTGGCATACCTGGGAGTAAAAGAGCCTCGCTTGACTTGAGGAGACTGGCAGTTTTTGTCTCTTGCCTCTTCTTAGCTGACTTAATCATCCAAAGCCAGCCTGAGAAATCAGTATTCCTCCCACAGCAGAAAAAGTGACTCAACCTGTTTGGCACCTTTCACAACTGTACACGGAGCAGAAGTGAAGCAGATAGGTAAATTCCAGATTCAAGTCCTGGCCTGCAAAAACCAGCACCGACCCATATCACACAGAGGAGTAGGTGTGTGTGTGTGTGTGTGTGTGTGTGTGTGTGTGTGTGTGGCTGAATAAAGACAGATCTAATGTGGCTAAGTACTCTCTCCACCCCCTTCCTTAGAAAGAAATACCCCCTCCCCACAACTCAGCGTTAGACAGTTCAAATCATTATCCACTGAACAAGTTTCACCCTGATGAAGAAGGGTCATAAGCTTTGGGAGTTAAAACCTTCTTCCAGAATGCTTCTCCTCTCTGAAGAAGGAAGCTGTGGAAAAAGAAAAAAAGAAAGAAACTGGAGCAAGCTACTAATTTCTGCAAGTGCTACTGACCTTGTGTTCATGACCCTCTTTAAAATGAGCTCAGCTTGTGAAATAACAGCTTCTGATCTGGCTCTTTCCCTTTCTTTCACTCCCCAAATTGCAGCCGCGTTGAAAACTTTAACTAGGTGCATTACTCACTTAGCTCAACTTAACACGTGCTGCCTTGTTAACTCGTAGGTTGCCAAGCTGATCCTCCTACATATATTTCAGGCAAGGGGGAATGGCTAAGTCTGATTCTGAACCAGGAGTGGGGCTGTTGAGTGTGTGTGTGTGTGTGTGTGTGTGATATATATATATATATATATATATATATATATATATGCTTTCGTAGATTTTCACGGGTACAGGAATGCAGGTTTTGGTGTCCTCGGGTGTCTTCCCGTGTAAAAGTTGGGGTGTCTAGGCGACGTTTCGACGAGGTCTCACTCGTCATCTTCAGGCTGGTGCTTTCGGCTTCTTGTTACTGGAACAGAGCAGGATCTCAGTGTTTGAGTTCCTATAAATACTGTTGAGGGGTGTGGTGTATAGCCTCCAATGTTCTGGGCAGAGAGGAAGTTCCCAGGCTAGTGTGCCTTTTTTTCTTTTGTTCCTTAATTACTTGAGGGATATCTTGAGTGATTTCTTGAGTGATATCCTGAGTACCACTTAGGTGGGTCATTAGGTGTGGATTAGTTGCTAAAGCCTTTGTGTCTTGACCTCTTGAACTTTGTGAAGAGTTTTTCTGAGAAGATGGCTGTACTGCATTTAGTTGTGCTCTGGCTTGGCTTCGTGTATAGGGGCGAGCTGTGGTTTTGTGTCCTGTGCCATATATATATATGTATATATATAGGCTTGATGTGAGCTATTCTGGCTCTGTATCACTGTAACATAGATCAGTAACTGGGCTCAGCTATTTTATTAACATTTTTTAAAAAAGCATTTTATGAAGCTTATCCTGTTTTAGGAACAGAGGAGGAGGAGTGTAAAAGGATGACAGAGAATAAAAAAACACAAAACAAGCCTCTGCACAAAGGACTAGAAAACACCAACTAGCATGATAAATGCATTTTTAGGGGATTAAGAGGGTGAACTGAAGCTGGAGCTGTAATTGGGATCAGCTGAAAAGAGTATGATTGTGCAGAATTAAGCTACTTTGCATTAAAAACATCACTCTCTGCAACATTATTACTTTTTCAACAAAACAAGATAGGAGAAATCTAAAATAAAAGCCTCCAGGTGATTAGTTTAGCTCTGGAGAAAGAAACAGATACTGTACGCTGCTTCTGAAATGCCAGCCTTTGTTCCAGCCTCGTGTGATCTCTGTAGGACAGTTAATTTTGGATGTTCTCCTGTGGGATGTTTGTTCTCCATAATAAGAACTGCTTTAGGAAAACCTTGACAGCATTTGAAATCTCAATTAAGTTGGTTGGTTTTTGTTTTGTTTTTTTGTTCTTGTTCTAATGCATAGCTGAGCTTGAACTACATGCAGAGGTTTTTTTCTTGGATAAGGACAAGCTGATCTAGGGCAACTTGTGACACCAAGGATGAAATAAAGTATTAAATAAAGCAAGAGACATAGAAGTTGGAAGAGACCGTGAGAGTCATCTAGTCCAGCCTCTTGCAATTCAGGAATCTTTCACCGAACGTCGGGCTTGAACCTTGAATCCTGAGATCAAGAGTCTCATACTGAGCTATCTGAACTGATCCTTTGCCCAGCTGTCTATCCTTTTCGAGGACAGTGGTAGCTACCAGTAACACAGAAGAGTTTCCAGAGGTTGTTGTCTCTATTTTGTAATATTTCCACCACTGGAATATTTAGAAAGTAATCCTAAATCCACGCTACCGCCCATAGCATGGCAAGGCTTTAGGGAGTGGGGGGGGGCACTGCTGTATCTACTGCCCTGCCACACACAATGGACAGGGTACAAGGCGGGGGCAGGGGCAGCCAGATGGTTGTGCCAGTCTGGATTGGGCCAGATGCTGTCATGTGACAGCAGTGGGGCCAGCCAGATTCTGAGTCGCCTCTGCTCTGCCCCTTCCACACACATTTGCACTTTCCTGAATTTCACAATGCAGTTCTCCGGTTGAGTAATACATTCAAAACCTCATAAAAAGGTAAAGGTAAAGGACCTCTGACAGTTAAGTCCAGTCACGAACAACTCTGGGGTTGTGGTGCCCATCTCGCTTTACTGGCTGAGGGAGCTGATGTTTGTCCGCAGACAGTTTTTCTGGGTCATGTGGCCAGCATGACTAAGCCGCTTCTGGCAAAACCAGAACAGCGCAACGCTGTTTATCTTCCCACCGGAGAGGTACCACTTTATCTACTTTCACTTTGACGTGCTTTCGAACAGTTAGGTTGGCAGGAGCTGGGACCGTACAATAGGAGCTCAATGTGTTCGTTAGCCAAAACAGCATACAGTACCCACATACATTTATTAGGAGAAATTTGCATTAAAATGTTGACAAATTTTAATGGGTATTTTTTTAAAAAAATGCAAATCGCTGTGGAAATGTGGAGAACTGAAGACTGGAAAAACGAGAACCAAAATTGAGGGTTTTGTCCATCCCTATAAAAAAAGTCAACAAAACAAAAGAGAGCAACAATTGTTAGGTATAAGGTATACTATAGCACCTAATGCAGAACCTGAAAAGTAAGGGATCCCTGTCTAAGAAAAAGAACTTGCTAGAATAGAGGGGGCAGTCATACTACATACAGTATTTTGAAGGTGTGTGTGCACATGTGCACATTCATTAAATGCTCATGTACCTATGAAATTCAGAGGATTTCATTGAGCAGTGAAGTTTAGTCCTCTGCCTTCCCTCATTTCCACATGGAAATTAACGCATGGAGGTGTGGCTGCATTTGTGCCCACTGGCTCCAATCCAGCTCTTTCTGTGTTCAAGATGTCATTTTCAAAGAAAGCCTGTGCTCTTACACCTTAGAATGGATGGGATGATCATGCATGTTCAGATGTATAGGCATCTGTGCAAATGTCACCTTGAGCATGCAGCAGTCACAGATATGACCTTGATCCCTCTCCCCATAGGTATGCACCAAGTCAGAGGTTGACTGAGTCTGACCTTATGTGATCTAGATACCCATGATGAAATGAATTAATCATAATGTAAATGGCAATGAACTGGACATCATGGAGCGAGCAATGGAAGAATGGGAAGAACAGGCAGGAGGGAGGATATCGCACAGCATTTCTCTTTGGAACTGATACTTTCAAAGGGTTCTGTTATAAAATAGTCCCAGATTTCATGGGGATCTTAGCAGACAAGTTCCTTTTTTAAAATATCCCCAAGGATAGGGTGTATTGGTTGCTAGTTACTAGATGCTACAAATTATAGATCTAAAGCTAACTGCTTGTCCTCCCACCCATAAATACTCCACACAAGTCCTGTATTGTTGCTCCCTTTGAAGGCTGGCAGAAACAAAAGATGTACTTACCTGTGTTTTCAGACTTTCAAACTAATGCCTGGGAGGAGAGGAACTACATCATATTGGCTTGCGTGAACAATTGTTCCAAAGTTCCAGAAACTAATAATTTGGGGGTTGTTTTTTCCTGCTTGAAGTTATAATCCAGTAATAAGGCAGTGTTTTACGTAGCATCTGCATCTGCTGTTCCACCCCTGGTATGTCTAAGGAAATAACAGGACAGACCAAATGAGGGGTACTATACAAGCTTGTGATCTGAAATGGCAACAAGTATCCTCTGTAGCAGCCAGCAAGCTAGAACACTTATTAGTGAGTAGATGTACTCATGAATAAATGCTCCCGGAAAGGTACTTCCACCGAAATATAAGGAAGAGTTGCTATGTGTGAAGTATTTCCTAATCACTCTTGGCACCTGTAACAAACTACACTTCCCATAATTCTTTGGGGGGAAGCTACAGCTGTTAAAATGGTATGAGAATGCTTTAACTGGTATTAAATTGACCCGTTTTTACTTTCAGATTGATATTACAGTGGTACCTCAGGTTAAGAACTTAATTTGTTCCGGAGGTCCGTTCTTAACCTGAAACTGTTCTTAACCTGAGGTACCATTTTAGCTAATGGGGCCTCCCATTGCCGCCGCGCCATTTCTGTGGTCAATCAACCACAAGGTTCCATGAATTGGGATGCTGGGGAATTTTCATTGAAAATAAATACATCTAAATGCAGTGTAAAGAAACAGCCATGTTTCTGTTCTGAAATGCGATTATCTCAGCAGCTGGAGTTTTCCAGAAAAGGTTAGCATGGGATTTACTACTGAATCACAAGCCCTTCCTCAAAAGACATGGCATGGCTTGCTGTTGATAGCAGCATATGATATACAGTGGTACTTCGGGTTAAGTACTTAATTTGTTCCGGAGGTCCGTTCTTAACCTGAAACTGTTCTTAACCTGAAGCACCACTTTAGCTAATGGGGCCTCTTGCTGCCCCTGCGCCACCAGAGCACAATTTCTGTTCTCATCCTGAAGAAAAGTTCTTAACCCGAGGTACTCTTTCTGGGTTAGTGGAGTCTGTAACCTGAAGCGTATGTAACCTGAAGTGTATGTAACCCGAGGTACCACTGTATAGGCATTTTGGAGAATGCAACCTGACCCTGTTCCAGTTTCTTTTCTTTTTCTTACATATATTTTATTGAACAAATTTAACAAATCAAATTATAAATCAATATAACCAATTACATTTCCCCCCTTTCCCCCCCTCTCCCACCCACCAGAGACTTCCTTCAGCTTCCCTCTCTGATTTGTTTATACCTGTTATTCTCTGCATGTTGTGAAATTGTACATATCATTGCCTTGTCTATCATATATTCTACTAATAAATTTGTGGATGTTTATTCAAAACCTGCCAAGGAGTCCAAATCCATTTGTTGTCTTTTTAAATCGTTTGTAAAAAGTTCCCATTCTTCCTTGAAGTCACAATTGTCATTCTCCCGTAATTTATAAGTTAACTTTGCTAACTCCGCATAGCTTATCAATTTTTCTTGCCATTGTTCTTTCGTTGGGATTTCCTCATTCTTCCATCCTTGTGCTAACAAGACTCTTGCAGCTGTTGTAGCATACATAAATAAGTTCTTTATTTTTCTTGGCAGGTCTTGTCCTAAAATCCCTAACAAAAATGCTTCTGGTTTTTTTACAAATGTCATTTTAAACATTTTTTTCAATTCGTTATATATCATCTCCCAAATTTTTTAAACTTCTCTACATTCCCATCACATGTGATACAAAGTATTTCTTTACATTTGCAACATTTTAATACATTTTTACATTTGACCCAGTTTTATACATTTTTGCCATTTTTACTTGTGTAATATACCATCTATACATCATTTTCATATAGTTTTCTTTCAAAAGAGAGCAGTCTGTCAATTTCAAATCTACCTTCCACAACTTTTCCCAGTCCTCAAATTGTATATTATGTCCAATATCTTGTGCCCATTTGATCGTAACTGATTTTACCTCCTCATCTTTCCCCCCGATTCTAGCACTATATGCTTTCTATATGCTTTCTATATGCTTTCTATATGCTATATACTATATGCTTTCTTCAGCAGCTTCACTTCTTCTTCTATAACCTCCTTTTGAAATCTAGAAATTGTATAGCCAAACCCTTTTTTGTTACCTTCCTTGTACATCTCATATAATTGTCTGTAATGCAGCCAACTTTGAGCATAGTCTTTGATTTCCTCATAATCTTTTAATTTCCATTTTCCTTCTTGGTCTCTCAGTAAATCTCTATATGTAGGCCACTTCCCCTTTTTACCAAGTGGTTTGAGTAACGAAGCTTCAGTTGGTGATACCCACCAAGGTGTTTTTTGTTCTATTAAACTGACCCTGTTCCAGTTTCAATCTCATATGTGGGCAACAGTTTAAAAGTTTAGCATAACCTGACCTTGAACACCAGTACCCGAGTCCCTTACTGAATTACATTCTGGAAGAGATACCCAAGCAGCAGAGAGCTGGCCAGAGTAAGGCTTGCTGGTGAGAACAATATTGCCACTTTCAAAATTGGGCAGAGCATGCAAATTACTGAACTACAAAAAGCATAGTGGTCATGTCCCAGTTTCAAAATTGTGGTGGTTATGTTGTGAAACCCACACACCTTGCCACGATTCCTCCTACATAGTTCCTGCACGTATATAAAAAAAACAGTTTTGGCAACTGAGTTCCACATTTGTAGGTGGCTTATTCTTGGCTACTTCTACTAGTATGTAAAACTACTCTTAGGTAAATAAATATACAGGGCTGTAGCAAATGGAATCATTATGCGTGTGGATGGACTTAATCTCTCTCTTTCTTCCCCACCTCCTGCACCACCAAATCTGTTCCAGAGGGATGAGGAAAACCCAGAGAAGATTTGGGGGAGAGCGTATGTGAGAGGAAGAAAGGGAGGGGAAGTTCCACTGTGCTAGCATAAATCATTTTGTATGTGCCATTTAGTTGCACAGTTGGACCCTGCTAGAGTCACCAGTTTTAGGCTCCTAGCACTTTACGTAATGCTGGTGTTAATCATCGTCAACAAAACAAAACAAAACAAAAACAACAAAGCAAATTACAGTAGCGGACTGCAACAGCAGGAGGTTCAAATTATACATTATGTACAGGAAGCACCCATTTTAATGTGTCTGGCAGCAGACTTGGATAAATTGCTAGATGACTGCATTAGCTAGTTAATAATAGACCAGAAATGAAAATGTAAATTTTCATCAGAGCTGTCATCTGTAAAAGGACGTTCATTGCTGATAGCATGGATGTAAACAAAATGCTTGTAACATTTAAGCCAGGGAAGGTGTTTTCTTCAAATGCTTTTCCAGAAAAGTGACTGTCAGTGCAAATTAGTCAAATTACAGTGCGAATTAGTCAAGAGATTCTGGTATCTCCAAAAAAATTAGTCTTTTTATCTCACTGCTTCCCAAAGGAACTCAGAGCAGTGGATATGTTTTTTCTTTCCTTTGCCCACACAACAAACTTGCAAGGTGGGTTGTATCCACAAAGTGTCTGCTTTGTGGCTGAATGATGATGCAGGGGTTACATTCCAAGACACTGCACATTTAAGTGAAATTGCGTATATTTGAAACACCATGGAGAAAGCCTGCAAACACCCTTTCCACCCCTGCTCCATCCCATCCCTTTTGGTGATGTTTTTGGGTCACCTCTGGGTTTGGCATGATGCACGTGTGCCTAAAATGGCTACTTTCTATACTAATTTCAAACAGTTAATTAGTAGACAAACTCAAGGTATAAATTTTCATGTGCATCAACTATCACGGGGGCACAGAAATCAACCAAATGAATCAATAAAAATTAAGAGGGCACTAAGGAAGTACCACACTGGGTGGTGCTTGTTGCCATGCAATGGTCAGGGTCATCCCTGTCCAACTCTGAGGCTTCAGAGTTGGAAGGAAGGCTGGGCACTTGTCAAATTTGCTAGAGCCTGGGAGCACAAGCTGCGTTGATGTCAAAGCTCGGCTCTCCTTGAACCCCACTAAGCACCAAAGGCTCTTCACACACCAAATTTTAGGTGTAATATTTGGAAATCTAAGGGCGTACCTGAGAATACAATGTATGAATGTCACAATCTGGTGTTTTTGAAAACGTGTGTGTTATCCAGCTACACTAATGAGACAGCCAGGATTGTCTGGGGCTCTTGCTTATGTGTACTCTTAATCTATATTTATTGCTGTGTAGCCCGTGAAAGGGCCATCGGACATACATTGGAAATCGTATTTGGTTGTTGTAGTTTTGGAGTGTGGGGAGCTTCTTAGCACCTCCTGTAACTTACATTTCTTAATTCAGATTTTTTTTGATAAAAAAGGCGGCCATGACAGTAAAATTTGTCCCTCTCTACCCTCCCCATAAACTTTCAACTATATATATATATATATATATATATATATATATGAGAGATCAAACATTATCATGCCAGTGGTGCACCCCATATTTGGTCAGGCACCAAAGGGAGGAAGTTCTGAAGGTGTGGGGCCACCACAGAAAAGGTCTCCTCTCTTATGGCCATGTTCCTCTTAGATCTAGGAGGCAGATTGAGATCTCAGCATGTGAGCAGGATGGTATGTATATCAGACAGTTTGGACTGAAACCATATATGGCTTTAAAGGATAAAACCAACACTTTAAATTCAGCTTGGATGCACACTGGAAGCCAGCATAGGTGATATAATGCAGGAGCATTATACATATATTTATTTGTTATTTCAATGTTTAGGCCGCCCTTCATCAATTTATTGATCCCAGGGTGCATTACAATATAAAACAAAACAAACAATAAAGTCATTCTGCACCTTAAACAAACTTATTCGCATTTGAAAGCATACATATTGAATTTCAGAGCAGATAAACAATTGATTAACGGAATTCAGTCTCAGTTACATTGCTTCACTGAAAAGGCCTAAGGAAATAGGTTTGTCTTCAGCTAGCCTTTCAGTCTGCCCCATGAACATTTCAAGTGCTGTCCCATTGGTAGGACTCCCTCTCTTCCGACTGAGTATAATTATGCAGTTACCTGCAGTCCTTTGTTAAAGGTGCTGGGAACTGGATTTCTGTGAGGGGTGAACTACAGCTCCCACAGTTCTTTGCGGGAAGCAATGTGCTTTGAATATGCTTAAAATGTCGTGTTTTAAATGTACACAACATTGCTCTTTCTGTTGGTGGTAAAATCAAGATTTTCTTTAATCTGGAGGTGAACCTTTCGTCTTGATACTCTGCCACTTATTTCTGTGATTCATTAAGGCAAAATGGCTCAACTCAGCTGCCAAATAATGACAAAACCCAGTGCAGGTTCTGTGCATTTGAAAGGATTCCTGTCACTATGAAATGTGCACACATCTATATGCCTATTTCCTTTGCCTCTGATGATAAATCCACTTTAACGTTGTCCTTCAAAGACAACACATTTTTATGTCTTACAAACCCACCCCGTCACCATTTTACTTGAGCAACTTTCCCGTTACATTTCATCGCAGCAATTGTTGCTTCTCATGAGGCGCTATCAATGTTTCATATCAAGGTGTCCTCTTAAACTGTAATGTGAGAGAGCCAACTAGAACTGTTGAATTATACATCGCCTAGCTGAATGTAAGCAGCCTTTTTTTGTAAGTCCAAAGCTATCCCTTGCTGAACTAATTTCTGGGAAGCACCGTGAAAAACCCCTATCTATGGATGAGCTTCAGATGAAACTGAGCCCCAGGCATGATGCAAGATCCCGAAAAGTCAGATTCAAAATCTCCTCTGCCTACAGTGGTCGAGTTTTAAAGCAAGTATACGAAGATGGACAGGAACTTGAAATCCCGCAGGAGGAATATCCTCATAGTTTTCGGCACTGCAGCTTTGAACCCAAAGACGACTTCTTTGGGCTTGGTGAAACCCCAGGATCCGGGTTTTGTCCATCAGCTAAAATGAATGCGCAGAGGATCAGTGTATTCAGAGAAGGGAACAAATACACCCTCACGGGGAGCCCTTCCCTCTTAAATGACCACCAGGCAGAGGGGAGCCATATGGTAAGTAATGTTTGTTTAATAATGACCCATTATGGAAATGATTGTAAAATGGCAAATGCGGTAGTCAGAAGCAGAACCTAGTTCTCATGTTGGCCAAGCAACTCTTCCTATGCCTTGGTGTTTAGACCCAGGTGTGCGACAATGTCGAGTTGCCATACTTCAAAAAGTGAAAATGTGGACAGAAAAGCTGTTGAGCTTTTCTTTTCTTTTCTTTTCTGCTAAAGTCGTTGAGCAGCCCTAGCAACAATGGGATGTGCAGTATGAAGTACAACCTGCGTAAAATAGCTGGGAAAGGCTACAGAATACATAGGAAACAAACAAACAAACAAACAAACATGAGCCAGAAAACCACTGAGAGCTTTAAAATCAATATCACTGAAGAAAATGGCAGGATTTATGAAGCACTTTATTCAGTTTCATTCCTTATTGTGAAAAGTGAAATCCAATAGGACACAGACAATGCTTTTAGGTTCTGCAGCACTTTTTCTTCAGTGAGAGAAAGCATTTTCTAAAACACGAATGATGAAGGAAACAGCGCAACTACCTTTTTGCCTTCTCCTTCCTACAACACAGGTGTGTTTCAATGTCTATTTACATACATGGGAATGAAGGCGCAACAGACCTAATGCTGGAAATTTCAAATGGCTTTTTATTCTTGCTGACTCTGAGCCACCAGGTACTCAGAACCACTGCAGAATTAAAGACAATGGTGTTGACCATCAAAATATTACCTGATCCAAATACCTGAAGAAGTACCTCACCCTGCCCTGTATCAGCCAGCCTGTTTTCTTAGATCTGGTGGGCAGTTTTTTCTCATTGTCCCACCACCAGGAACAGTACATTATATGGTGGCATGGGACAGGGCTTTTTCTGCGATGACAGCCTGGCCTATGGAATCTCTCCCCCCCCCCAAGCCTGCTTTTGCTGTTTCAGGCAAACTCTTTTTTCATCTGTTTTCCTGGACTTTGGGAGGTTATTAGTAGTTTTGTCACTGCTGTGAATGAGGAGCCCAGGTTGTGGTTCCTTGGGCTTCTTAAGGATCTGCTGTGTTTTTGCTGCTGTAATAAGTTATGATGAATTGGTTTTATTGTAATCTTCCTTTTGTTCTTGTATTAGCACCTGCCCTGAAATCATCTAATGAAGGGTGGGCTAGAAATGTTCTTATAAGAAATAATAAAATAAAATAAAATAAAATAAAATAAAATAAAATAAAATAAAATAAAATAAAATAAAATAAAATAAAATAAAATAAAATAAAATAAAATAATAAAATAAAATAAATAGATGCATCCATAAGTAAAACCTACAAAAATGAATGATTTGAAGCACATCAAGAATACTGACCCAATGGAGCATGTAAGCATTGTAGAAATTCCAAGGGACAGGTGGATAAAGGTGATACAGATACCTGAGAGCTTGCTCCAGCTGCACTCCCCATCCCAAGGCACACAGGGCAATCTACTATTCATGGTCCTGTGCGACTCTCGTTATAGGTGGATATTGTCTACAGTGGTTTTTAAAACTGTGTTTTAATGTTACTTTTAAGTTGCCTTAGGAAGAATTGCACCCTGCAAGACAGAAATAATGGTAAAAGATGAAAGAATGAATGTCTCCTTGCAGGCCCAGGACCCGCACTCTCCCCACCTCACCAACCGGGCTAGAAATGAAGGACACCACACCATCAGAATGGGATCGAATCTGGCCACAACTTTATTGACTACAGATGAAGAGGTTTGGCATAGGCAATGGGTAACCATTTACTTCTGGCCTGCCTGCCGGAAATGACATCAAGGGTCAACCCGACAGTGGGGATTCATATGACTTACGTCAAATAGGGGGATCCCTGCAGGGATTACTGCCTTGAGGAGTGCTGAGGCCCAGGCCCCTGTCTGGGCATATGGACAGAAGCAATTCCTTCAGAGATACCCTACTTCTGGAGGGGGAGCTGAAGGTACAACCTCCCCTCCATCCAAGACTAAGGTTACCCAGTGCCTAAACTGCCAAATTTGTGATGATTGCTATGAGGTAGGCCAAACCCTCAGGACAAAGCTAATTCGCCTGACAGGCAAATTCCTACCCGGCTCTCAATATGGCAACCATCATGGCCACAGCAAGGCCAAAGCAGCTGTGAAATGCATTGTTGAAGGAGTGTGTGAGTGTATTGATGCAACGAGGTGAGCCGAGTATCAAGGGCTGGTGCAGGCTGGCTTAAATCCCCCCAGAGTGGACCTAAGAGAAGCCTAAATGTTCCATCATGCTCGCCCCTGGGGGCGGATCCAGCCCTCTGAGCTGGCTAGCCATTGGCCAGTTCAGCAGACTGGCACGGAGCCGGCTTCCATGCCAGGAGGATGTGAGCCAGAGCTCACATGACGGCTGGGGAAGTCCTCCGGCACTAATGACTCCCGTTGTGTTCAGGGAAGGAGGTGTTACCCAGCCCACAAGGCCGCTGCGCCCATGAAGGGGTAAGCAGACTTATTTGGACCATTCCCACTTCACCATTTCTGCTTCCCATATCCAGGAGCCACTCACTATAGGAAGTACCAGTCACTGTTGCTGGTTGTGGGAGTCATCAAAGTTTCCAGGCAAGGATGGGGAAGCTGAGAAATGTTAGGAGACCCCTATTCCCCTCACAGAGTTAAAAATTTCCAGTGTGGTATACAGTGGTACCTCAGGATGCGAACGGGATCCGTTCCGGAGCCCCGTTCGCATCCCGAACGGAACACAAAACGTGACGGCGTGTCTGCGCATGCGTGGGTTGCGTTTCGCTGCTTCCGCACATGCGCGTGACAGCATTTTCAGCGTCTGCGCATGTGCGAGTGGCGAAACCCAGAAGTAATGTGCTCTGTTACTTCCGGGTTGCCGTGGAGCGCAACTCGAACACGCTCAACGTGAAGCGCATTCAACTCGAGGTATGACTGTAACAATCAATCCCTCTTCCCAGGGAACTCTGGAAATTATAGCTCTGTGAGGGAAGTAGGGATCTCCTAACAACTCTCAGCACCCTTAACAAACTACAGTTCCTGGGAATCTGTGGGGAGAAGACAAGACTGTTTTAAGTGGTATGACATTGCTTCAAATGTGTACTGTACAGCAGATGGGGACCTAAGAGAGCTGTTGGACTTTCAATTTACATGTTCCCTGCTTCATTTCAGAATCCCCCTGTTCTAGATATTGGGAAGATTATCATCTACACTAGCAATCTGAAAATCATCCGATCACCACTGACTAAGAAGGAGCTGGTGAGAAAAATAATACAGGATGAAGGACTCGAAGACTGGTCCTTCACATACCACGAAGGAAGAGGAGAAACTTGCAGTAACCCAAGTGATGAGAACATAAAGGAGACTGAATGTGAGCTTGTTCACAACGAGCATATGCAGGTAACATGCATGGTACATTTGGGAGCAGATGCAGGCATTAAGACGTAAGGTAGTGGCGTCTCCTGCTCTAGAGATGTAAAAGTATATGCTTGTGCATTAAAAGAAAAAGGGAAACGATGACATCCTCCAAATGTTGTGATACGAAATCTGTCAGTTCCAGGACTTATGGCAGAGGTGGGGAACCTCAGGTCCCGTGGCTGAATGTAGCCCTCTGTTACAAATACAGTGGTACCTTTGGTCATGAACTTAATTCGTTCCGGAGGTCCATTCTTAACCTGAAACCGTTCTTAACCTGAGGTACCACTTTAGCTAAGGGGGCCTCCTGCTTCCGCCACACGATTTCTATTCTTATCCTGAGGTAAAGTTCTCAACCCAAGGTACTACTTCCAGGTTAGCGGAGTCTGTAACCCAAAGTGTTTGTTACCTGAGGTGTTTGTAACCCGAGGTACCACTGTAACTGAAAAGTAATGCAATGGGACTTTATAGCATGCTAATGAATAAAATTAGTAAACAAACTGATCCTCTAATTCAGAATGCCATGGCTTTAAAGCTTATGGGATATCCAGTTGGGGAATCCATTGCGCTTAAATTAAATCAACGGCAAGATATTGCTTTGCAGCTTCAAAATTGTATAAAAAGAGTCTTTGCCTCATTGATAAAGTGAACATTTCTAAAGAATTTATATTTAAAAACAAGGCATCAGGGTTCGAAACAATGGACTGACTTATGGGACTTGAATAGACATGCAAGAAGGTACTAATGGGATATTTTAGGATGGGGGCCTTTGGCCCAAAACAAGGTACATAAATGAGCCGTAACGTTGTGGGTGGTGCTCAGCTATGTGTTGCTTGCAGTAGACCCATATAAATCAATGATCATGACTAAGTTAAGTCATGTGTCACTAGTCATTAAAATTCCGAAATCAGACCTGTGCAAATTGAGGAAATGTGTGTGCATTTATTTTGTGTAACTTGTACAAGAAACAAGGGAACATTAGCAAGGAACTAGAATCACAGGGAGGAACAGATATTAGTATTCCCACTAATATTTATCAAGCAAACAGAAAAGCTAGATGTTCAAAAACCATAAGAGCCATACACATCTTAGAGGGATTTAGCCTGCCAATTGGATTTACTTTAGGTAAAGGATTCTGTGAACTGGTGTTAAGGAAGCTTATTTTGATCAGTCCCTTTGTATTTCAGGAAGCAAATGGTGATATCAGTTGCTCCCAGTGTAAGGGATCAGGCTCTGCACCCTGCTCTGTGTGCCACGGAAGCAAGTTTTCAATGTTGGCAAACCGATTTAAAGAGTCCTACAGAGCTCTGCGATGTCCAGCTTGTAACGAAAATGGCCGGCAACCCTGCCGGACCTGTGTTCAATGACTGTATCTTCTCTCTGGCTTCCTTTTACTTCCCTCGTTTGCTTGTTTTGTGTAGAAAAAGAATCCTTCAAGTTTTTATGTCTATTGTATTTACCTCTTTGCACTCAGGTATACCTGCAGGTATAAGTGTTTGTATGCAGTGTTAATATGTTACATAAGGCGGTACCCATTTAAAAATAGCAATTCCCTTCCATGACATTAAAAGTGCTATGGCTTGCTATCAGCTTGTTAAGAAATTGGGCCATGATCCAGCCAAGTCTCATTGATTTCAGTGGATGAGATTTAAGATTAACTCTCCAAGTGAAATCATTTTTAAAGGGCTTAAGTTTGGCTGAATCATGTCCTGGGTTCTTTTATTTGACACTCCTGTTCCAAATGAGAAACTCTAATTTGTGTCCCCGAAGTAGCAGCATTGAATAAGTACCATGCTAACAGCAGCAGCAGCAGAACTCAAATGAGGAAGCCAAATGAGAGAGAAGCTTTTCCTTGTTGCATAAATTGGGTTATTTTTCATAGAAATCGTCTCACCTCCTCCTATCCCCTTTTCCACAAGAGATATTGAAGTTTTGCACCTATTGATAACTATATCACAACTCCTGAACACATGTTTACCCTAACTTTGCATATGTTTAGGCTAATGGTATTCCTCGTACCTGTAATTTGTAATCTGATTTCCTGGTTTCGGGTTATGGGTATTGTAGGACAGAAATGAACACTCCTTTTGCAGCTTGCTGAATAAGGATCCTTCTAGATTCAATCAACAGCAGAAGCGTCTACACCTCAACTGATAAAATAAATCATAACATGTTATATGATTTATAATTTCACTTGCCCTTTTGCCTTGAACATTTGTGATCTTTTTCAATCCACACCCCATTTTGCATATAGCTGCACATTTATCCCTCCTGAGGTGCATGCCGTTTTCTGCAGATCTAGCTCATTTCAATTTTATTGTTATTAGAGCACACTGTGTTCTTTTCCTGCATGATTTAGGCAGCACCTCCCAGTTCTAAACACTACCATAGAGAAGGAGGGAGGGAAACACCAGTGCAATGGGGGGAAAGAGAGAGAAAATGTGTATTTTATGGCCTTATTCAGAGAGATGCTGCCACTGATGTTAATGGGGGAAGTTCTGCCTCTCTCAGGATTCACTTGTTAACAAATGGAGCTTGTGTTGTTTAAAATGTGTCCCCAGTTGTAATTTCTAAACCATGAACTCTAATTAGTTTAGATGAAGAAGCAGTGCTGAATACTTAGCATGCTACCACTTGCAGCGCCAAAACCACTACAAATAAGGAAGTAAATGAAAGTGCTTTCTACTGTTACTCTGTTAATGTCAAGGCTGGCTTTGCTTACATATGAGATCTAAGGCTCTTGATGAGCTAAGAGATGCCTCACATTGTTTGCCTGCTGAGTTCGCAAGGATAGCCAGTGTAATTTATGGTCAACTGTGTACTTTGGGATGTGTATGTTAGAAGATTTCTCTGAAAACAGCTGTATTAGTAGCACTAATGCCATCATAGTTCTAAGACCTGACTGAATTCTCTTAATGTTGAAATTCTCAAGTACGAATCCCATTCTGCTTTGAAGATTTGTCTTTGCAAATGTATAACTACTGCTAAGGCTTTTCTCAGTTCTAAAAATGCCTTGAATTTTAATGGAAGCATGGCTAGCGCACAAAATGGGGGGCGCTTCAGATGTTATCCTTCCATCCACATAGAACTTATGACCCCTGTTGTATTTCATTTCTGAATCATTCCATGTCAGTTTCGCTTCACTGCTGACTCTGAGACTGAAGCCTACCTCAAATATGGCCTGTGACTTGTGAAAAGCCAGAATAGCACATGTTTACAATGGGGGGACAGGGGGACGGACAGCTACGTATACCCTGTGTGTATGGAAACTCTGCCTTTCCATAAGCGAAACAGGAGTCCTGTGTACAGCGTTGACTCCCAGCCAATGGCCAGGATGCTCAAAACACTCAAACAAACAAACAAACAAACAACTCAAAAATCATTTTCCTTCAGGACTCCAAAAAGATTGAGCACTGCACTGGATTGCATCAGCTTCAGGTTACCACATTCTGAAATGGGCATGGCAGCAGCTCAGCTTTAGGCCTTTCAATGTGGCTATACATCTTACAAGCCATGCAAATGCCATGAAATGAAAACTTCAGTTCCGCTCTGAATAGATGCTCTGAAAAACGTGGGAGCTCTACTGAGCACCTCAAATGCAAATTATATGTCGAGCAACAGACCTCAGTCTTCAAATGTGGGTCTAAAATAAAGGGATATATAGTATTTGATCTAAGGCACTGAAGTGTCCGTTGCCTGGTGCAGAACGCTTTACAGTCAGCTATTTCCTGCTTTGCAGTCACCCTCATCCCCAGGGACTCCCCACACCCCACTTAGGCTCACTTCCTGAAAAGGATGCCAGCTGGGGAACAAAGGATATTGGGGAACAGACTGAAGGGCTAACAGCAGTGATTCAGTCCCACCATGTGTTCCACTGCTGGTGCTTTTAATCAAACCCCCATCCTCTATTGTTACCTATAGGTGCCATTGGGGCAGATCTGCTTTTGAAGACAGAGGTCCATTGCTGTCACATCTGCTGAGAACCTCAGAAGCAAAATTCACATTTGGTTGCATTCTGGCCATTTGAACGCCACTCTAAAAGGCAGCACCATCTTTATGACTAGTAAGTAATAAGGCAAAGGCATCGGCTAAGAGGTTCTAAATACAGTAGCAAGTAAATTCTAGGAGTATCACTGGGACTGCCTTAAACAAATTTGGGTCAGGTTGTTTGGCTGTGATCTAAAAGGTTTGTAAAAGCACTGGCATCCACAACAGCTTTCCACTCAATTCAATGGGGATAGTTCTGCACGCATAGTTTGGAGATACACAGTAAAGTTCTCACATGAAAATACTCCATGCTCAGGTGGGAATACCATCTTCACACAGCATCCTGTATGTCTAAGGAGTTTTTCAATCAGGTCTCAGATATGTAATTGCCATTGGTCAGATTCCTTAATCATGGCTTAGATTGTGCTTTTCTGAAAATTTCCAAATGTATTATTTGGAAATACATCCCACTGAAATAAATGGGACACACCACCAAGAAATGTGTTTATGATTGACATATTAGTGATTTTGTGAAAGTTTTTGTTGTTTAGTCGTTTAGTCATGTCCGACTCTTCGTGACCCCATGGACCAGAGCACACCAGGCACTCCTGTCTTCCACTGCCTCCCGCAGTTTGGTCAAACTCATGCTGGTAGCTTCGAGAACACTATCCAACCATCTCGTCCTCTGTCGCCCCCTTCTCCTTGTGCCCTCCATCTTTCCCAACATCAGGGTCATCTTCAGGATCTGTCCTTCCAGTGAGCACTCAGGGCTGATTTCCTTCAGAATGGATAGGTTTGATCTTCTTGCAGTCCATGGGACTCTCAAGAGTCTCCTCCAGCACCATAATTCAAAAGCATCAATTCTTCGGCGATCAGCCTTCTTTATGGTCCAGCTCTCACTCCCATAATCACTCCAGGGAAAACCATACCTTTAACTATACAGACCTTTGTTGGCAAGGTGAATGTTACTCTCGTGGATAAAAATAATAAAACTGCAAGGTTTCATGTGAACCTTGTTAAAGCTCTCTTTTTTGTTCTATAGTAATATCAAGCCTTTCATGCTTCTCTGCGGCAAGCATATGACCCAGTAAACTACCCTGGGGACTTTTCACAGGGTGGAGTAAGAAATGCATAAAACCAATAAAACAATACAGCATTGAGACAGTGACAAGTACTGCCTAAGTGCCATTATTATTCATATAAGTAAACACGAACAAAATATTTCAACATGTATTTGCCTATCACAGCCAAGCTACCTGTGACAGAAATACTGAGCCGAGCATTTGCACAAAAGGAAATGTTTTACCAAGCTCATAAATATAAAAAAGACTGGTTCCTGGTTTTCATCTTGTAGCACCCTGCTTGTGGTTAACGCTTAGCTGGAATGAAATATTCAACGCAGCAATAGAGAAATTAAAATAATAATTAATTTGTCAGACAAATAAATGATAAGCACAGTGGTATATGGTTACCAAAAGCTCTGCCCACCCCAGCCCTGATGGCCAGCACTTATATTTCCTCAGCCCAGCCCCCTTGCTCCTCCTTTGGCTGCCTCTGTCCAATCAGCCTGGTTGAAATTCCTATTGGCTGTTTGCTAGAACCAATCATAAAAGATACACCCATTTCCTATTACCTTTTATGGGAGACAAAGAGCTATATTTCCTTCTATCCATAAATGGCAGACAAGTAGCCATATATCTTACATTTGCATCGACAAGGCACCTTAATTAACATTTCACCTTTTGCCCTATTGCCCTATTACCCCTTCACTCCAAAACAGATGGCTAAAACAGATGGCTCATGGTAACAGAGATCTTGGGTTCACATTCTCACACACCATCAATGAAATAAGAATCTAACATAAGAATCTAACATTTCTTACTTTCTAAATCCTTTGCATAATTACATTTAAGCCAACAAATCTCATACATTAACATAGCTTTTTAGAAGAAAAGGAACTTAGCAAAGTTTTCAAAACAGCTTCAAACCTCTTCAATTTACAACCCCCCTTTCCCAGCCAGCTGCTGTTCCTATTAGCTCTTGCCCTTTAACCTTATGAAAATACGGCTCAAGTCTAATGGGAGGCACCTAGTATTATTTTCTGTAAAACAATAAATCTCACTATTCACCAACTCTTAATTGTGTTTTTGCAGCTTGATTGTATTCTGTAATATGTATGGTCAGTATGACCTTTGCTCCTGTAGCCTGTAATTCCCTTTTACAACTTTGAGAAACGTGTCTCCTGCTACTGCTATAAATCAGGGGGGCCCTTGAGCAGGAAGATAAACAGCTGCCACCTGGCATGAAACATACAAGCATTTGCAAATATATCTTTTAAGCTCATTTTAAAATACAGGTCTTGATCAGATGCCTCAATCTCTTGGTCACATTGCAACATGATCAAAAGACACAGCATAGCTCTGTACCTGAAGCACACTGAAATGCATAATTTCTTCCTGTGGGGTTATTATTATTATTTTCCAGAGATGTCAGATGGCACAAGATGGCAGGAGCACTTCCCACAGGCCCTGGAAAAGATTTTGTCCAGCAACAGGGGCATCCTGGATTGGGAAGCGGGTAGCTTGTGCCCGTCAACTTGTCACTCATGTCACTGGAGAGACATAACAACAGGCCATGGACCCATTTCTGCAGGTCCAGCCACAAGCCTTAACCCAGTGGTTCTCAAACTGTTTTCTAGCACCACACTGATTTTTTTGTTGATAAGAAATATAATAGGAAACAAAAGAAACAACTCCTAGCAGTGCTTGATTTATAACAACATAGAACACAACTACTTTATAATATGAACATGCGACATCCAGAAAGTATAAAGCAATGAAGCTACTTAAGTACATGAATCATTCCCAAAATATAATTATAAACGAGCCTCTTGCATAGTACCTTAAGTATGTACACAAACTCAATGAGACAAGTTTGCTTACTTTTGCTGGGTAATCTCGTTTATATTAGGTCTAATTTGGGACAAACTACTGTTTCCTCATCAACACAAAGAAGCCTTTCTCTTTTCTGATCTTATATCATATTTGTCAGAAAAGATATCCATCCTAACTGTTCGATCAAAAGCAGAACATTGTGAGCCCTCCTTGCCATTTCTCTCTCTCTCTCCCCCGCTCTTTCACGTCAAAAGCCAGTGGTAGCACTTTCTCACACACTAATGTGACCAAGAATTAGAATTCAGGGTGGCTGAAAGGGAAGAGAGATAGGGTTACATAGGTAGGGACAGGATAGGGGGTCCCCAGGGACAGGAAGCAAATTAAACCCTGGTCATAATGGTGTCCCTGAGTGTGTCCCATTAATTTCTCCATGTACGCGAAGGGCTGCCATTCAAGTCTAAGATCTGCACTTAGGGTTTGACTGCAGCAAATGTGAAAGCTGCCTCCCACCATTGTCACTGGATGGCTCTCACTGATTAGGCTTCTCTCCGAGAAAGTGCAGCATCCTATCCTCTCTTCTCATCTACCTACATTGCTGCAGTAAAGAAGCTCTCGCTCTCTATGACCAGTCATGACAAGGGACATTTTGCAGGCTCTATAAAATTAACAAAGTGTGACAACTATCTAGTCATTAGGGAGGTCCAAAAATTTGAGGCTAGTTACAAATGACAGTGTTTGGACTAATGTGGTTGAGAGTTGAAGCTATGACTATATTATGATCTAAGTGCTTTAACTAAACTTCTAGATTTTTTTTGGGGGGGGGAGGGATATCCATTTCCGTTTTTAAAAAAACACTGATGTTTTGCACAATATCTTCCTATTAGTGTTATATAATAAGCCTGATGCATGTACTGAGATTGGTCTCCCAGGTAATCCCCAGCATTTACTGTGAGAATATATCTCCTCCAAACTGGGTATGTGGCAATTGGTGGAAATAGGTTTCTTTCTTTGGTATTGGAGGCCACTGGAAACAAAATGGCTAGGCGGGGTCAGCAAACTTTTTCAGCAGGGGGCTGGTCCACTGTCCCTCAGACCTTATGGGGGGCCTGACTATATTTTTTTTTGGGGGGGAATGAATGAATTCCTATGCCCCACAAATAACCCAGAGATGCATTTTAAATAAAAGGACACATTCTACTCATGTAAAAACACGCTGATTCCCACTGTCCGAAGGCGATTGGGCTGGATCCGGCCCCCAGGCCTTAGTTTGCCTACCCATGAGCTAGGCTGTGTTTGGGTGGGAACACAAAGAAGTTGGAGTGCTGAAATAGAGCTCATCCACTGAAATGTCACCATACCCACAAAAATGAAGAAAAAAAAGTGTTCCACACTAGCAGTGGCTGCAGACTGTATAACAGGCTATTTTTTCATTTATCAGATCCATTTTAAATGTGAAAAGGGGGCTGGCATTATGATGAAAGCAATGTTATGTGGATACTGCAGAAAACTTCTGGGCCTGACCAGGACTGACTTGACAATAAAATCCTGCCAGGAAATGCCCTTTAAGGTGGCACAAGCGTCTCTGTGCGAGAGACTTAACTCTCTGAAAACTGTAGCCTCATCAGAATCCTTTTCCTTGTACACCCTCTAAGGCAACAGAACGCATCTGCATAGGCAGCCCCGTCCTAATCAAGTTTATTCTTTGTGTGACGTACTTCGAAGTTAAATGTGCACTCTTACCCGAGAGTTAAATCCCACTAAAGTCAACGGCGCTTACTTCTGAGCAGACACGCAAAGGATTGCAGTTGGGTTTCCACACCTCTTGGCGTGGTGTTCCCACCATGCTAGTGGAAAATGCGGTACTATGGCTATTTTTAGGAGAATATTTCTGTTTTCAGAAAGCCCGGGGTATTGTTACATTTTCTCTCCAGCAGTTCCGCAAACTTTGACCCTCTGAATAGGAATCAGAGAGAGAGAGAGAGAGAGAGAGAGGAAGGGGGCGTGGCTTCTGGCACACGTGGGGGAATTGAGCTGCGTAATTGGATTCCAGAGGGGGCCTCTCTCCACTTCGAACGTCATTAAGGTTCTAGAGAGAATGCACCTCCCCCCGCGAGGCAGGAATGTAAAGGAAGTAAAGGAACGTGGGAGCGGCCACACTTCAGCGCCGAACACGTGTCGTTGGGTTCCCGCGTTATGAAGTCCCCAGAACAAAAAACAAAAAGCACAGTTTGGTTCAAAACAGCAGCGCAACGGTCCAATGACTTCGTAACCGTAGCGAACTTTCTTTCCCCTGCCCACAGCCTCCAGAGAGGCCTAAGCCGCTCAGCCCATCTCGGCGCACGTTTGCATTGTGACCTAGGGAGGTGTTACTCGGAAGGCAACGCTGCGGCCCGTTGCAAAACGACGTGGCTGGAGAGCGGGTGTTTGCGCAGAGAGGGGGAGGGAGGGGGCTGCCGGAGCCTGCGCGGGAAGGGAGCGGCCAGGCCCTCGAGCGAGCGCCGCCGGCGTTTGGGAGCAAGCTGGCAGGAGGGGGCCCGCTCGAAGGGCAGCGGCGGCGGCTGCTCGGCTCCCGCCATGGGGGTGACCGTGGAGGCGCGCAAGGTTTACAGATACCCCTTCGAGCAGGTAGTGGCCAGCTATCTCCGCAAGGTAAAGAAGGGGAGCTCCTTTTCTTCCCCGAAGCTGTGTGTCAGGCCCCGTTTCCTTGGGCTCAAGGGGGTTCATTCACAAGTGTGTGTGTGGGGGGGGGGAAGAGGATAAGGAGGAGAAATGGCGGCAACGGTGCGCCCCAGCCCAATCTTTATATTGAACACTCTCCACGCACGCCCTCTCCAGTCTGGCAAAACTAATTGGAAGTGTTTTCCAGCCTCCGATTTTCTCCTTTGGTTGTCAGCAGAGCCCCGACTTCAGTGTCTCCTTGCAGTTTTCTGTTGCTGGCCTCGTAACACGCGGTGAGGCCGAGCCTTTGGGGTATTTTTGGGGGGTTGCGTCGCGGGTGGGGGCCGTGCTATCTAACCCAGCTGCCATCCGCCTGGCTGAGACAGAGGCTCCCCGTGTTTATCGGATGGGGGTGTGAACGCGCCTCTGGATCTCTCCTTCCCACTGCCTCGTTTCGCACGTGCTCTCTCTCCGGCACGTTTTTCGCCCTGGCGATTGCCCTGGTGGGCGCTGCTGCTTTTCTCGCTTAGTTCTCACGAAAGTGTTACTTCACCAGAACTTATAAATACCAAGGCGCTCCTGCCCACTCCTTTGAATTGAGACAAGGTTTTTTGTGTCTTCAGGGTGTACTCAGGATTTTTATTGGGGGAGGCCTTTTGTTTTTTTTCGAGGGGGGGCAGAACCTCAGTTAACTATGTATATTTATGTATTTTTATTGATTTGGAGGGGAGCAGCTGCCCCTTCCCCCCAGCTACGCCCATGGTGTGTTGTATACTTTCCAAAGTGCATGTCTTCATCTCCTTGGTGGAGCAGCCAGGATGAATTCAGAATCAGCATTCAAGATGCCCTTCACAGATTGGAGAACTGGGCCAAAACTAACAAGGAATGTCAATAGGAGCAAATGTAAGGTTCTGCGCTTAGGCAGGAAGAACCAGCTGCTCAAATGTAAGATGGGGTACACATGGCTTACTGGTAATACACGTGCAAAGGATCTAGGGGTCTTAGTGGACCACAAACTAAACATGAGATTCCAACTAAATATCAGGAAGAACTTTTTGGCAGGAAGAGCCAACCGTGGAACGGACTCCCTTGGAAGGTGGCGAACTCTCCTTCCTAGGGTGCTTTTAAGCAGAGGTTGGCTAGCCATCTGCCACTGATGCTTTAGCTGAGATTCTTGCATTGCAGGGGGGTGGACTAGATTGCCCTTGGGGTTCCTTCCAGCTCTACAACTGTGTGATTTTATGCTCATCCAAATACCCTTAAAGGGAAGCCACACATGTGATGTATCAACAGCAATCAAATGTGGGAGTTACAAAAGCATGGATGATGGTCCCCAAATCTTAGTACTGTACTGCAACTTGTATGGTCTTATGCTGGTTTTATGCAGACTTTTGTACTGGTGCTACTTTCATATTGATTGTATTTAGTTGTTAATTGCATCTGTGTTTTATTGTTTTTAATTTGCGAACTTCCCAGGGGACATGGTTAATTAGGCGGTATAAAAATGCCACAAATATCTAAATAAATAAAGCAATGAAAATATGGGGCTGATAAAATGCACTTGTGCCTTTGGCTATAATCTGGCAGCAGGCCATGGCCCAAGAGAATGCTAGCCTGTAAAAAAATTATTCACAAAGGGGAGCAAATAATATCCATGCATCTTGTGTGGAGTGTAGACCCTGTCCAGCTTCATCTACCTGCCACAGGTGGCCAAACATGGTTGCAGAAGAAGCTGTTGTGTAATAGGGCATAATGATACCCAAACCTGTATTCTTGTTCATATTTTGGGGGTAAGGTTTATCCCTTTTATGTTATTGTAGTCAATTAACATTCTTCTATCTTTTTGATGTATGGTATTTTATATTTTGTTTCCTGTATGCTTTTACAGATGTAAGTCACTTTGAGACTTTTTGTTGTTGTAAGTGATGAATATGTGCGATCAATACTACTACTACTACTACTACTACTAATTAATACTGATGTGGTTAGGATTACATAGTTAGCCATGGCATTCACATCTGGTTCTGGTTTGAAACCTTGGCTCAAATGAAACCCTTATCTTGGGTTACTTAAAAACAAGAATGCCAGAGGTGGGATCTGAAAATGACTTATTTTTTGTATTTCCAAAGTGAGATTATTGGAGCTCACATCTGGAAGCAAGCAAGCCCTATTGAAATTAATGAGTTTATTTTTAAGAAGGAATGCACAGGATCATATATTAATTTGCTGCTTTTGTCAAACTGTTTTGCTAACCATTTAATAACGTGATACCATTAGTACAAAGGAGTCCAGGCCAGTGAACACATTGCCTTCAGCTCCCAGAGGAAACCTTAGTGGCTCTGCGTGAACAGTTGGGGCAGCCTTACCTCAACCATTCCTGGGGATGCTTAAGACTTAGGTGCCCCAAGGAAAAGCAGAAGAGAGGAATCGGAGGCCGGGAGCTAGTGCCATCCTCTTCTGAAGTTGGCCTGAGAATATTTTGTATCATTTGTGTGTTAATGTTTTGAACTGTAAACAGCCTTGGATGCCTTGGCAATTAAGGTGGTATATAAATTCAATAAATAAATAATAAAATGAATATTGTACTGTTATGTTGCTGTTTATTGATACATTGTGTAACCATATTGATAAGATGTAACTATGAAGGCACAGTTCTTTGCACTGTCATCTTAAGACTGAAACAGACTGCAGGATGTGTGAGAAACATCTGTATTCCCCTGTTTAACTGCAACCAGTCCTGAGGGTAGAGCGGCTGCAAACCCCCGTCCTGGCTGGGTGGGTGGTGGTTGCAGCCCCTCGTTCTGCCGCCATGCCCAGGCAGCCAGAACGTGCAGGGGCAGCTGGGGGTTGACGTCCACTCCTGGCTGGCTGCATCACAGGACAGGATTGCCCACCAAACAATGTTAGAAACTGAGATATGAAAGCCAAAAGCTAAACCTATGAAAAAAAAGACAGCCGCGGAACCAAGAAATTACACAAAACAAAAGAATTGCTGTGAAAATCCCTGAAACGAGAAGTAATCGACTATAGAATTGAATTAAATAACAAAAATTTAAGGAAAAATTAACCTAAAATTAAACAAAGACTTAACGAGACTTGCCGGCTACAAAACTCGTCTCACTGAACTAATCAGTTTCCTCAGAAGGAAATAAAGAAATTATAAACCTTAAATGATTTTAAGTGATATCAAACAAGTTTCACTTTTTTATAACAAGAATAGAAAGCTGAAAACGAATGAACTGCACCTATGGAGAGCCAGTGTGGTGTAGTGGTTAAGAGCAGTAGATTCGTAATCTGGGGAACTGGGTTCGCGTCTCCGCTCCCCCACATGCAGCTGCTGGGTGACCTTGGGCTAGTCAAACTTCTCTGAAGTCTCTCAGCCCCACTCACCTCACAGAGTGTTTGTTGTAGGGGGAGGAAGGGAAAGGAGATTGTTAGCCGCTTTGAGACTCCTTAAAAGGGAGTGAAAGGAGGGATATCAAATCCAAACTCCTCTTCTTCTTTCACATGGTCTAGTCTTTCCCCTGCCCACCCCCCTAATATTCTTTGGAGGGTCTCTTCTCCAGCCTTCAGAGAGTGGCTGGAAGTGGGGAGGCAGAGAAAGGTCCTCTTTTCCTTCCACTCTGCAGTTTTAATCTGAAACCTTAGGCGCAGTACTGTACCCAGAGCTCAGAAACTGCTCGCGCCAATGAAATTCTCTGTCGCAAAATGCACCCAGAACAATGAGAGTTTCTAACACTGCCGCCAAAATGCCTATGTTCAAACTAACCAAAAAAATGTTTCAGGTATGCCAAAATGGCATGTGTGCTATGCATTCAAATAATTTAGGGCATGCATGCACTCCTCACTAGAGCTCCATCAGTTCACAAGTCATTACTGATGTAACATAAATGAAAAATGGCTGTCATCAGCATACTGGGGGAATTATCTTGAGTGCAAGTAATATAAGCCTGTCTTTCCCAAGCCTTTGGTGCTTCTTGTGGAGCTTTGTGGGGTGTGTGGTTTTTAGATGACAAAAACTAGAGGGAGAGACCTCTATTATTTTTACCTTTCCCAAACCACCTAGATAAGAGATAAGGCACTGCCTCTACCTTGGGACTCAAGGGAGTAGCAAGTATATCTCTTGCTTCTTTTAAATAAATAATAGAATTACAGAGCTGCAAGAGAGCTTGATCAGTGGCCTGCTCAATGCATGGTGGGACAGCAGTGTCCCAGACAGATGACTCCACATCCTTTACATAAATTCCTCCAGGGAGGAGAAGCTCTTGCTGTTTCTTCTCTAAAGTGCATCACAGGCTGGGTCTTACTATCTCATTTGGCCTTGAGGTTTGGGGAAGGTAAAACACACCAGGAGTTTTCTCTGTGTCTTTTTTACTTCTTCATAATCCCGTTGCAAGTGGTAGAGATCCCAGCCTCTCCTCGAAGCTTCAAGCGCACACAGAAGAACACTAGATTGACTCTTGGGGGCAAGCTTGATGTTACACACAGATGCCTAATTCTCCCCTACCAATCTTTTAAAATGAAAAAGGAGCCTTAGGGAGTTGCCATCTTCCTTTTGAGCGCTCCCCCTTACATGCTGGTCTTACCTGATAGCAGCTGGTTAGAAAGGGCCATTTTCATTTAAGAAAAAAAAGAGAGAGGTTACATGCATCTGTGTTTGATGTCTGGCTTTGGTGTTCAATTCCTATGTGTATTTTCCTATTTTATTGTTAATCTGAATAGAAGTATAGAAACTGTTTAATTATAGATGTTCATAATATGGTGACTTTATTGCCCTCTAGCTGCGGCTTTTGAGAAATGAAACTGAAGTTTAAAAGTAATTGCTATTTCTTTGCCAGTTTTTTAATCGGCATACTAAGGTCAGATGACCCTGCTCAATACTATCTCTCCTCTGCTCAAGGGGTACAAAAGGACAACTTTTTGAGCAGCCCAGTACTTTTCATTCAGTGGAATGACTTCGCTGGCAGGCTTGTAGTTTTTGCACCATGCTT